CTCCCAGGCCCGCGTGGGGTCACGCTCCGGGCCAGCCCTCCGCCGAGCGGGGCGGCCTGCTCCCTTCCGTGCTTCCTCCCTTCCTTTGCTCTTGCTCCCTTCCTCTCCTTCGCAGGACCTCAGTAAGTTGCCTGCCTCAGCCTCCTGCCATCACAGGCCTGGGTCACCGTGCCCAGCCCGGCCCTCCCTCACACCGCCTCAGGTCCTGGACCCTGTCCTGCGGGCTTCTTCGTGACGGGGGGCGGCCATTCTGCACTGTATCGTCGGGTTTGCCCTGAGATACACCTTGAACGCCAACTGAGCTGGCCTCTGAGTCCAAGCCCACTCCCTCTCCTCCCGGGCAAGGGGCTGAGACTAGCGATTTTGTGCTGCCCCCTGGTGGCAGGTTGAGGGAAAGGCCCAAAGAAATCACGTTAGGCAGGAGTTCAGAGACCACTGTCGCGGGGTTTCCAGACCTCGGGATTCACTTAAGGAATAGGGAATCAGCTGTCTGAGTTTTACGTATTTATGGGCACAGTGAGATGTGACTTACGTTGCTGTGCTCCTCCCCACCGTGTGTGTGTGATGCTGATGATTGAACCCAGGACCTCACACATGCTAAACCAGCAATCTACCACTGAGCTACACCCCTACCCCTTGTTGATTCTTACTTAGTCTTCCTGAGTGATAGTATCCTTGCTCTACTGAAGAAAAAGCTTGGGGTTCAGAAGTCTAAAACAAAAACTTTAAAAAACTGAGCCAGACACGGTGGCACACACACCTGTAACCTTGGCTACTTCAGAGGCTGAGGCAGGAGGATCCCAAGTTTGAGGCAAGCCTGGGCAACTTCGTGAGTCTGTGTCTCAAAATAAAATTCAAAGAAATAATTTTAAAAGGGCTGGGAATGTAGCTTATTGCAAAGGCCCTGGGTTCAATTCCTAGGGAACTGTACTTTTGTGGGGACAGATAACTTGCCGAGATAACACAACTATGAAAATTGGTTAGGCTCGATTTCAAACCAATGTTTGCTTAACTTCAAAGCCAATGATGAGCAAAAGCAACTGAGCTGGGAGGAGGAGAGGGGATGGGACGGACCTGGCCCAGGCACCGTGGTTTTGCCTCAGATGACAAAGGTGAGTGCACAAAGACTGGGCTTTGTGAGGGGGATTCACTCAGACACCCTAGTTCTGCCTTCTGTGTGCCCTGTCTGCCTGCGGCTTCACGGAGCTGCTGTTTATATTCAGCTTCGTCAAACAGGTTGGAAACCCGCAGTCTGAACCCTGGCCAGCTCACAGATAGGGTCCCTCAGCCCGTGTGGAGCTGCCAGCAGAGCGCAGCATTTACCTTTTCTCTCTCTCTCTCTTTTTTTTTTTTTTTTG